GATTTTTCCCTTAAAAATATTTTTCTATAGTAAAATCAAATGATAATTAGTATTCATTATCTTTAGAACATTTATATTAATCTGCGTGGTACAATAACCTTTGCTTCGTATTATAATTTAGTATTATCTTTATCTAAATGTCATGATATTGAATCTAAAAACTAGATTACGAACACCTAATCGACTAACAGACATCAATAATTTTGCATAAAAGATACATCTTTTCTTAATAATTTGTCAATTTATTTCGTGAATTGTGTGACAAAATGTTGTATATTATAATTTGTTGCTACTTATTCGTATCTCAAATGGCTATTTAGATTACTATTGTGATTTTATTGCCACTAAATGCACTCTCTTACGAATTAATATAATATTATTTTGGTGTTAATAAATGTGTAAGTATCATTAGAATATAATTTACTTATTAATAATCTCTAAATATAGAGTGAATTTTGCAATAATATAATAAATAATTCGATTTGTTCATTTGTAACATTCGTCTCATTTTTTATATGTCTATAAAACATGCAATTATATTCCTCAATTAAATACAAATATATTTTATAAGAAACCCGGTAAACTCCAAAAAATCTTACACTTAAACGTTGAAAAAGAGATAAAGTACAAAAAAAATTATACCGTTACAAAATACCTACCTATATAGACATTATCTTCTCAACCGACATATTAGGTACGGCGGCACAATAAATAAACATTGTACACCGACACCAATAAATTTCTAGTAAAATTGAGATGTATAAAGATCTAATCTCGACCAAAAGATTTATATTTCCAATAGATTTATTAAAAAAATGTCTTGTAAGGATTTGGTTTAGGCTACATGAGTTACTGTTATGGGTCAACATTGAAACTGGACTATCTTGTGGGGTTTTCTTTTTGTTAATTCAATAGGTTAGTGAAATTGAGATGGATAAGGGACTTTGTTGCGTGTGTTGTAATTGTTTTACCACGTTAAAACAAGAAACAGATAAGAGAACTGATTTTTTTTATAGAAAACTCTATGTTTTTTGTGGGGATTGTCATCAAATGACTTCTCTCGTCACTTCGTCAGACTCTTAGTGACTAAAACCTCCATGTCCCCTCTCCTACTTAGGGCTGGGATGCGGTGCATAATTGCGCAAGTATCTTAAAAGAATAAGCATAAGAAATTGTTAGTTGTTAAAACCATATGCAAACAATGTTAATAGAAAACTGTAATTTTTTAATTCTGTGTGTGTCACAACAAGACTACCATTGTGTGCAATTGTTATTATAAAATTTGAAAAAAAATTAAATTAATCAAACTAATTGAAGTAGCACAGAGTTTGAAGGCATTCTATTCTCTCTATTCAGCAATAAGCTTACAGTATAATACATAGAACTCTATAACACAACTGGTTAAAATAAAGTAAAAAAAGACGTTACTCTAAAAATCGTTTTAAGAGTTATACAGAAGTATTACATCTTACAAAGCAAATCCATTTAAAAAACTACTAAAGTATAGAAAAGGTTGATACAATACGAATATCTCAACATATAAGTCGCTCCTACCATCAATTTCACATACCACTCATAGTAAAAAGTAAAAAGCCACAATAAGTGTGAACAATACTGCATCAGAATCCGCAGCACACGGATGTGAGTGGTCACAGTATTGGCGACACGCCCGACAAACAAACCCACTATACATTATACATGAACCACACTAGGAAACAACACGAAATATATCAATACATGTTGATACTGTGCATTAATTATTTTAAGTCTCGATTATAGGCTTTTATTTCTATGCTTAAGATAGGATCCATTGTCATTTGTGGTTTAAATCCTATTTATAGAATCTTACAAGGCCCTATATGTATATCATTCGATGTTTGAGACAACTGCACACCATTCAAAATAATTACACTAATGAGGTATTTCTAAAATATGATAATCACATAATTACAACAAATTTGCTTTAGAGCAATTTTTTTGTAATATACATAACACAAATGTTTAATTTTGCAAATGTAATAATACTCATTTATCAAAATGATTTCAAAGAAAAAACATCAATCAATAGCTAAACTATTGTTATAGAATTGTTAAAAAAAAGTTCAAAATCGGAAACGCCACGCTACTTCCAGCCTCCAACCCGTTTCTCAGATGAACTCAAAAAAAATTGAAGAAAAACATTGTGACGTCACGGGTCCGGAATAACGGGCCGTTCGATACCAAACACCGTACTGCCCTTGGTCATAAAAAACCTTCACCGTTTGTTGAACTAACTGTCCGTAAAACAACGTAATAAAACAATTATTATAAAACTCTCCCATTGTTCTATATTTGTGCAAAATTTCTTTTCTGCGAATCGTTTGTCGGTATTCTTTAAATAACTTTTTTATTATTGATTGTTAGAAATGTTAGGGTTGCAATTTTTTAAATGGATCATTTGGTTTTTGTTTTTTTATTTTGCAAACATTGGGTAACATTTTTATTAGTTGCAATACTGTTTTAACTGTACCGTCTATTGAGTAATACACTTTTTTATTTAATTACCTTTGAAATAACCGAAAATAGGACAAGCTATACCAGCTTGTTTTATTTTTGACTTTTAGGAATTATGTTTTGATAATAAAAACAACATAAAATATTTTGATTCATAAAATAACTTATTTCACTTGATTATTTTATAGCACATCATCAGCACGTTTCCATCCACTGCTAGACAAAGACCTCTCAAATTGCACACCACTTAGCTTATAATACAGCTTTTGCCAACCACTTCCACCTTACGGATATCTTCACTCCTCGTACAATATTAATTGCTATGAATTACATCACAAAAAAAATATATTTCTCTTCAAAAAACTTCGCTAAATTACTATCCGTCACAAGAGTAAATTCGTAAAAATGAAATAGTCTAAGTCACTTAAATAAACATCCAATAAACAGACACACACACACCTACAGTACATAAGTACTTCAGCTGCCATGCATCACAAATATTAAAATGTCCAAGAACAGTTTACTTACAAATTCTAGCAGTTCTGCGCGGACGCGAATTAAAGATGTCATTTTATAAGCTCATTATTAAACACCTCATATTAATTGCATTGGTGATTAATAATTCACCATCCGATTAATTAATCACACATCTTTTAGGTACATATTATCAAAAATAATACAATTAAAAATTACATATCAGCATTATGATGTCATTCCGTTTATTTTCTTGTCTAGTTCAAAGATACAGAAAAATGACACTTTATCTTTTGTTATATTACAGTCAGGGTTGCGAGTGGAAGCGCGATAGTGTACCGCAGCCTAGCTCGGAGCAGGAGAATGAAAGGGGAAATTTTAGTGTTAAGAATCTGAAATGACTTATAAATCTGATATAAGTCATTTCGGATTCTTAACACTAAAAAGAAGTCAGTAAGTCAAAGTATCACATCTAACATTACATAAAATTAAAAAGACAACATTTCCATCTCTGAACTACATCAATAAATAAATAATTAACCAAAATAATGCTATAGGTCTGATATTAACCCACTATTTGAATGATCCGATTTAAAAGCTACATTACATCACCAGATTACGAGTTAATTATATCTTCCTATATTTATTGTATATTATATTGGGTATATTTAAAAATACTCAGTTACATTTGTATTAAAAAATATTCATACCTACTTACAACGGACGGTCTTATCACTCAGCGGTGTTTTTACGTTGAAAGTCCAATTTATCCGAATACATGATAAACATTCTTATTTTTAGCCGTGGCTTTGCCCTATATTTTCTCTACATCGTCCCAAGTAAGTGTAAGCAAAATTTAAAAATGATTTCTTGAATAAGATAGAGCATAAAGAGGTTAGAAGAAAAAAAAACTTACTCTAACATTAAAAGTGTCAAGTTGGATCACTTACAATGTATTCCAAGTTTTAAGTAAAAATAACATACATTACATAAGTTTTCAAATATCTTGATGCCCAACGGCATCTTTTATTAATCATTTGCTTACCTACTTTTTACTTTTGCATAGAGATAGCAAAACTAAGATAACTTAAATAAAAAATAATTAAAAATTCTGTCATTAAAAATAAAGTGATTCCTTTTATAAATAACACAGTTAGTAAACTAAACGAACATTTTTTTATTACCTTTTTTCGAAGCCCAAAAATGTTAACATTTGTTTTCGAAAAAACGTTTCGCAGTAATTACCATTACTTTTTAACTGTTTTCATTGTTAAAAGAAAGTTTTATTACGGTAGGATGTTAAGTAAGTGACTTTGTTTAGATTTTTGGTTCATTTTTTAAGGTCCTTTCTGTTACTTCGACGGTTGTCTCAAAATACTTTGTTTGGAGAAATGTTCTGTTGAAAGTTTAAAACCATTGTTAATGTGCTCTACCAATAAACTGGAATATTTCGCCTAATAGATTTATGCTTAACTTTAAAGCAACAGAAATATAATATTTTAAAAATATTCGCAAAATTATAAACGGTCAATAAAATATTATACAATGAATTAAATAAAATTTAATACGAATAAAGTTATATAAAAATTTCAAACTCAGTTTTATTTTATTACAATAAAAATATGAAGTAGGTAAGGTTCATAAACATAATGGTTGTCAATAGCCGCGCTGATCGCAGGACATTAAATAATTACAGACTCGCATTAAAAACAAAAACGCATATGTTGTATTTAAAAGGCGACGCGACGCATTAAACTGTGGAGTTACGATTATCGCACCGCGATCTATAACGTCGCGTATCGTTTTATTAATCGCAGTACGAGGCTCGGGCGCAGGCGCAGTGGCAAAGTTCACGCGATCCCACCAAACCGTACCTATGGACCGGTAACGCACCGGTAATAGAGAAAAAGACGCAACCATCCCCAACGCCACGCGCCAGACAAGGACAGCACGAGAGATAGATGTTGCGTTAGAAGTTAGCCACGCCCCCACAGCGTTCGAAGCTCTGAGTCCACCTCCGTGAGCATTCGTGCGCGCGCGCCGCTCCAGCCACACGCCACCCGTGTTCGAAAATTTTTGAATTTCGAAAATGAAATCGGCCGCGCGATTTCAATCCCGTCAATAGAAGATGCCAGTGTTCCGCACGGAAAATATTTTTAGAGCAACATTTGACAAAGACTGTTATATAAAAACTGTTATAATGATGTGTCAGTAGCAGGGACAGTAAGCGTAGCAGTGCGGTAGTTGCAGCGTCGCGTTTTCAGTTTGCGTTTTCAGTTATACGTCACATGTAAATTGGACGCGGCGACATTTCGTTTGTTTGTTTTCATCGAAAGTGACTGGACTGTGACATTTGAAATCGATAGTATCCGTAATTGAAGTACCACGTATGCGGGTCGCCTTAGTGAAATTTTTATTGACTTAAAAAATTGGGAGCAAATTATATTATTGTGAAGTGACAGTGGGATTTATCGGAAACTGCAGTCTCCTGATATTGTGCAAACACCAAAGATATTAAGGTAAGCGGTGTTTATTTTATATATTTATACATCAGTCCGAATACGCTAAATAAATATTACATGTCTAAATGAACCTCATAATAAATCCATTCTCAACAAATTTTCATTCATGCTTCTTAATTTTCATGTATGTACTAAATGAAAAATTAAACAATTCATAAAATATTAAAAATAGTTAAAGCCCATCTAAATAAATATTTACTATCACCAAAATTAAATGAAAGATCGCTTCAAAAATCTATATAAAAATTTCTTGCTAAGATGCGTGCGCACTCTATTCCTCGTTACCGTAGTTCGGGAAAAGCTCCCTACAAAAGACATCAACGGGCAGACTCTTTCGTGTTGTTCCCTACTTCTTGACATGCAAATTATTAAGTTGCATTAATGTAATAAAAAACTAGCTTCCGCTACCGGTTTAACTTAAATTACCTAAATGAAAGGTACCTTATAACTTATTGCAGACTGTAATCATATTTGTGGTCAAATTTCGTCCGAATCTGTTCTTTACCTTTGGCGCTAAAGATCCGTCTCAACTTCTTCATTCAGAATAATTATTAGTAGAATAAATATTTTTAAACGTTAAAAATGTAAAACACCATTTAGCATGTATTACATAAATCTATAACATCACTAGACTATTAAATCATAAATACATATTGCAAGTAAACACAAAAATCCCATTTTCGTAATATTACAGAGCGGTTTTAATAGATGTGTGGAATTTATAAAAACGTTTGCACGTGATTATGTGTCAAATCACATCATGGTTTCAAGAGCACAATTAAGCCTTTTTAAACTAATTATTGATTAATCAATCATCGATCGTCAAATTAAAATCATTTAATTATTCTGTGTTAATAAAGTTATTAAGATCGCCGTAGGGCACAAAAATAATATTGCAGCGCCGGCGTGATTATTGACGAAATTATAATAATTCTCCTATCACAAAACTTGCACATTCAATAACACTACTTATCATATTTTTGCTTTAATTATATTATGATATAAATACTTGCTTATCCGGTATATTAACGATGCAAAAATGCAGACACCACGAATCCGTTCCGACATCCAAATACCATAATTTCAATATATTCTCTTTTTTCAATCATTTAATACAAATTAAGTGTGAAACTGTTATTGTTATTTTAATTACTATTAAATGATAATAATAAAATAATTAACTGCAATGAAAGTTACAACATTCCGAGCGTTTATGTCTTTTGTACTGAAATTCTTCAAAATGATTTTATTCACATTTTAGTTAATTCGACTTCGTTAGATTGGAGTTAATAATCCTAAGTGGTGATAAACACGTCGTGTCTAGTATAACAATTATCTTCAATCAAGTCTCTATAAAAGATAAGGAAAATAGATCTAGACTAGACGTTAAGTGCGTGGGCGCTGTAAATTAATTTTGTCAATAATTATTGTCTTTAAAACTGAAACTAGAGTGGGTATTTTATAACAAACGACGGTGACTCAGTCAAGCGGAAACTTCAGTCCGACGCGCGTCGGTAAGCGATGATAGTAGACAATAAAATTCTAAGATTATACCTCAGAACACTGATATTCGCCATTTTTCATTCCACGGTGCTAAAAACTTACTATCAACGAAAATCTTAATTAAGAAAATCTTAAAATTCGGATATTATTTCTTCAACTGATAATAAGTACCTACTCACAATCGCACTACAACAAAAAAAACAATGCGCCTTATTTTTAAGTAACTAATCTTAATTGTAAACCTGTATTAACAAGTGAAACACATAACTGTCAATAACATTAATATAATTATACACATACAGATAGCAAATACACTTTTTAATTCATATTACATTAACTTCAAAAAACCGTTAGATCTAGGCTAGATAAAGGCATTGAATTCAGGCTTTGTCGGTGACCGATGACACTGAATACACATATCATTCGCCGTAACACCTATTTCGTGTACAACATTAATTTGGTAGCGAAAAAAATAAATAGCTATACAAATATAATATGATATGTAATTTTAAATACAGGCCATTTGTGATAATGTCTTTAAGGATTAATTACTGCAATAGTAATTTTCATTTAGTTTGATTACTTTTATAGAGCACTAGCTTATCGCGAGATACTAGCCTCCGTCATTGGTTTTGCCCTACTTTAATCTATCTCTATGTCAAAATAATTTTCATTCATCCGATCCCTTCAGTAGTTTTAACAAACACACATCCATCCGTATTTTCATCATATTATTATCAAAGTATAACATGAAAATCATTTTTCATTGTGAATTAATTGTTACAATATAAATAAATATAAGTTGAAAATTATTTCAATAGTTACAAAAATACAATCACATGGTTTTCAAAAGTTAAATATTAACTTACATATACGTTAGCCGCTGCGTAAATAAGTTCCTACAAAGAAATTATCGCAGAGACGACAGAATCGTTTGGTCATGAAACTATTTGTGATCCTATTCTAAGAATAATATTAAAAGATGTTTCCGACCGCATTCACAACACAGGAAGAAATCTACTGCGAACAAATGGTAATTACAATAACAAGTCAATACCATTAAGTAATAGTCTATTTTCATAACCTACTGTTAAATATTTGCCAGTAATATTCACGAACACTGAACGCCGACGTACCTACATAACCGGGGAGTAAAATTCAGGAAACTTCAATTATAGCTTTAACCTTTTCTTACGTAAATATGCTACTGTTGAACTCGGCACGCTGAAATTAGCACTGTTTAAACCGAAGTTCAAATTACCGTAGTTGTTAACGAATATTATTTGCGAATAGGGTCTAGTTAAACTGTCTGGTTACTTGTGGGCGACCTGAAATTAGTAAGGTTCTACGATAGTTAAGGTTTTATGGCCAAATACTGGCCTCTGAACTGTGAAAGCACACAGCTTGAACTTATTAGTAAATTAAAATTTAAACTATTAAATGACTTAATACCTTATTCGATAGAAATTAATGAACAGTAATTATTTATTGATGAATTAAGTGTTCCAAATGATTAACTAATTATATTTTTTGTTGTCGGCGGGACATATATTTGTCAATCATTAAAATAAAAATCGAACTGTAAAAATTAACAATTTTAGCTATATTAAATCACTAATCTTTTTGTATTAAGAAAGTGTCAAGGGACGCCATCTATCGGTAACGGTAGTAAACCAATCGATGTCCAATACACGCCCGACTAGATGTGGCTGCGCATGCGCTTGAACGCAGGCATAACTTTAGGAATTTAAATAGTGTGTTTTTCAATTTAAAAAATAAAGTAGATAATAATTTATATTGACAGATTACTTTTACGAAGTCACTTAATTGCCTTATTAGGCCTTTTTGCACTTTCAGCACAAAATATGAGAATGTCATGTTCTCTATTAGAAACACTTGTACCGCATAATCGGATCAGTATAAAATGCTAGTTTCCATTCACTCAGAAGTGCTTAACGTCATCATTAGCGCGATATTTTCTGAAGACGCATCCAACGAGCCAATTACAGAAGCTGTCACACAAACATCACATACATCAATACAACATTCCCAGATTCACATATCAAAAAAACCCTATCAATTACCAATCAATCAAATAAACCAACCGATTGATTCAAACATCAAACAATCATGTGAAAATTGAGGGAAACATAGCCGTACGTTGTACCTGCTTAAACCCAGCGATCTATCATAGTGACCTCGTTGAAAAATCGAAAACTTCTATTGAACAATTGACCATTATGCTTATAATAAAGTGTTATTAAAAAAAATAACAAGTAATGAGAGAGACAATGCAGTCTCCGTGGGAAATGGTCCCACGGTGTGTTATAAGAACATAAGCTCTATCGTTGGACTCGTAATGGCTTATGTACAATGGACAATGACAATTGTTTGAGTCCTCTGTGTGTTGAATCGATTTAACGTTTTATTTAATTGGGTCATTGGTTATTTGATTAAATCATACACATATGTACGTAGGTACCTACGCAAGTACTTGACTCACGACACCTTGATTTGAATTTGGTGGTGTGCTATTTAATACACAATTGATTTTGTGTTTCTTTTGAGGTAAACATAAATCATAAAATATATAAAAGTTTGGAAATCTTTTATTTTTGATTACAAATTATTGTTAAGTATGAGCAGCTTTATTGTTAGAAATTAAATATAAATAATGCTTTTTTTCATAAGTAAATAATTAATTGATAAAATAGTATAATGATGAAGATGATTATATTAACTTTTAATAGGATACTACACAACAAACACATTTTTTTCTCTATCAATAACAGTAATACTTTAAATTCTGTTCTTTAAATTAATTATAAATTTATTTTATTTCTATGTAACTCATCAACGTCGTCATCAGCCAATCGCAGTACTGGGCGAGGACCTCTCTCAATATGGAGGTACTCACCTTTGACTTATTTATTTTATATCTAATTCAATATAAATTTATTTATAAATATAATAATAGAAATGGCAGATGTAAGACATACTTAAACAAGTTATAAAAACTCGCAATAAAGTCAGTATAATATTACAAACCATTATAATGAGATTTACCTTGATAATTATAATATATTTTAAAGTAATTTATAATAAAACATTTATAAATCTTGGACAGTCAGCCACACTAAGTTATACATATAATTAATCATAAATTAAAACGGTGAACACAACCACACCCAAGTAGGTTGCTAACCATATCGTATGCCGACGGTTGATCGGTTGCGTGCCGACAATCCACAATGCTCGGTGGTTACCATCGATAATTTTATGCAAGATAATTATTACAAATCGACCTTTTATCTCTGCAGCCAAACTTTGCATATGATTTATAGGTTTCTCTTGTTAATATAAGTACATACAAATAGGCAACAATTTAACATTTGTTACACCATTATTAAAAAAAAATACTTTTCTAAATCCTACTCAATTTTAAACATTCTAACAAATAATAAGTATCGTGCCTAAGCCTAACGCGTGGCCAT